GTGCATTGTTGTGAATTGTTAGATATTACTGCACTGTTGGAGCTAGAAACACAAGCATTTCGCTACACCCGCAATAACATTTGCGAAATATGTGTATGCGACCAATAACAAAGATACTCCTTTGACAGCCTTTCATTACCATTAGAATCCAAGTTGATTCAACATTTTCCATCTCATCGAAAGGGAACTGTCTCCGCAGCTGACCTCTACTCACACGCCAATCAAACTACAGACCTGTCAATCAAACCACAGCCCTTTAAGTTGTCAATTAAAAGTGAGCCAATTAAATGTCTATTCCACACTCGAACTCCTGAACAATGCATGCCAACCTCTTCCTATAGCCTCATCTCCTCTTTATCTCTCTGTCTCTCCGTCTCTCCTCTACAGCCTTATCTCTCCCTCTCTTTGTCTGGCAGTGATGCATGCTGCCTTCCAGCACAGACAGATAAAGAAAGGGGAAAAAGAGACAGATAAAGGGGAGAGAGACAGATAAAGGGGAGAGAGAGAGACAGATAAAGAAAGGGGAGAGAGAGAAAAGAAAAGGGAACGATAGAGAGATGAAGAGATGAAGAGTTGAAGGAGAAGATGTGATCATGCTGAAGGAGTAAAATCAGTACCTGATCAGCTGAACAATGCCAGCGAGCGTCCATGCCTGCCTGCCTCACACATCACACACACACACACGGTTTACACACACTGCTCTAACACTGTCTTCAGAAACACACACACACTCTGTTAGCAGCAGCTCTGTCAGCACGGAGAAAACGAGGAGATGCACTGATACGCTAACTACCTATCGCTGCTGACAGAGAGAGAGAAGAGAGAGAGAGAAGAGAAGAGAGAGCATAGATAGAAAGAGAGGAGAGAGAGGTAGATAGAGAGCAGAAGTAAGAGAAGAAGATTCAGCGAAAAATCGCGTAGATGAGACGCAGAACATGCGGAGCTCGGGAGTTAGAGATGCTACCTCCTCGAGAGCCCCGGGGGAACGATCCTCAGACTCCCAGAAAAGTGTTAGGACCCGAGTCTCAGCATTGGAGACTGATCCTCTAGCCGAGAGTCCCCGGACCGAGGGGAGAAGCAAAGGACGGGGAGAAGATGAACGAGAGAGAGGAGAGAGAGGAGGGAGAGAGAGAGAGCGAGAGAGAAGGAGACGAAAGAGAGAATGAGAAAGGGGAGAGGAAAAGAGCCGATAAAAGGGGAAGGGGAGAAAAGGAGAAAAAACGGGAACAAAGAGAAAAGAAGGGGAAAGGAAGGGGGGGGAAGGAAAAGAGGAAAAACAAGGCCGGGAAGGGGGGAAAACCATCCACCCGTTTAACCCAATGCCCGAGGTATGCCTCCCCGGGGCCCTCCCAACATCCAAACCAACCCCAAAACACCCCACGGTTTACCCACCTTGCTTAAAAAGCCCTTAAAAAGGGGAAACAAGGGTTTAAGCAGTTTCCTTCCCCCAACCAACCCAACGGAGAAAAACGAGGGAGAGGAAGGAAAGTAATTCCCACGGGTAAGGAGAGGGGAGAGAAGAAAAACCCCGAAAAAAGGAAAGACACAAAAGGAGAGAAAAAAAGGGGGAAAAAAACAAGAAAGAAAAAAGAAAAAAGGGGGGGGAAAAAAGGGGGAAAAGGGGGAAAAACCCAAGGGGAAGTTAAGGGGTTTTTGGGGGAAGAGGAGAGGGGGGGCCCCCCCCCCGGGGAGGAGAGAAAAATGGAGTAAAGACGGGAGGGGAGAGAGGGGAAGAGAGAGAGGGGGGGGAGGGGGGAGAAGAGAAGAAAAACCAGAGAAAAGACGAGACAGAGGAGAGGGAGAGAAAAGGGGGGGGTTGGGGTTTTGCTACAGTTGGTTTACCTATAAAACACTTTGGAGCCACAAACAAAAACACACGCCCGCAAAAAACCCCACCCCACACAAAACACAAAAACCATCAAAACTAAATTGAGCAGAGTGAGACAGAGTGGACACTTCAGCATTATTAATAATTCAGACTCATAGGAGGGAATCTCACTAAACTCAGAGCTGCAGGAAGAAACACACACACACACTGCACCATATCAAGCATACATATGACCTAACTCATATCTTGGGATACCACCGACTGCACACGCACACACACACGTTTGAGGAGTAAAGAGCAACACTGTCAGTGAATCTCAAACCACCACCTCGCCCCTACCAACTCGCTCGGAGGGCTCTCCGTTGTCACGTGTTGCTGAGGGTGTTGCTCAGGGTGACTTCCAGAGTGGGGAGGGGATCAATAAACCCATCCATTTCGGGACACACTAGTTACTTGAATGATGCAATTCATCTTCCACTTTTAAATAATAAAACGAGCATGAAATTCTAATTAAGAAATCCCCCCCTGTTGTTTTACAAGACATACAACTCAGTAACAGTTTAACATTTAATTTAGGAGGTATTTACATGTGTCAAGTCTCGAAATCCGACAAACAAATGCACGTGACATATAATTAAGCACGCCTCTCCATTCTTTCGTAGGAAATTGCGCAAACGGGAGAGCACTGCACTCTGAAGCCTGCTGGCTTGGCCCGAAGTGGCTATCTGAGGGTCTAATTAGCCCCTACAACATGGATAATTTTCACTCCCTCAGCATTCGGACACTTGTGCATATGGCGGAGGCACACGTGAACGCGCAAATGGAGGGCCGAGGGGCGAGGGGAAGGGAGTGATTTGGGATTCAGCCTGTGTCTCACTCCGTCACTTAAACCCTCCATCCATCCAGCCATCCATCCACCCAATACATCTAGATCTATTATTGATGCCTGAGGCTCACAGCTCTGCATTCCATTATTTATGTCTGAGACAGCTGGCAGCCTATACTCAGAGGAACTATACACTATGGAGCACAACAGAAAGAAAGAGAGAGAGAGAGAACGAGAGAGAGAGAACATAAAGAGAGAGAGAACAGGTAATAAGTTGAGACAGAGAGGAAATTGGAGAGTTGGTCGAGAGAGGATCCTAGAGAGGAGGGTCACTATCTCCATGGCAACTCGCATCATTGGATACATTTTTTTCAGAGCGCGGCAGACCATTTCATAACCCAGAATCCATCTCCACACAGAGAGCCTGTTCATCATCATAACCTCCTGACTGGTCATAGCAGGTCATAACCTTCATAGCAGCTCATAGCAGATTATAGCAGGTTAACACAGCTCATTGCAGCACAAATTTGAATCCAACTTTTTCCACATTTTGTTGTGTTACAGACTGAATTTAAAATTGATTAAATTTAGATTTTGTGTCACTGATCTACACACAATACCCCATAATGTCAAAGTGGAATCTTGTTTGTAGAACATTTTAGAAATTAATACAAAATGTAAAGCTGAAATGTCTTGAGTCAATCAGTATATTCAACCCCTTTGTTATGGCAAGCCTAAATAAGTTCAGGAGTAAGAATGTGCTTAACAAATCGCATAATAAGTTGCATGGACTCATTCCGTGTTCAATAATAGTGGTTAACAGGATTTTTGAAAAACGATGTATCCTACACATACAAATAATCTGTAAGGTCCCTCAATCGAGTACTGAATTTCAAGCACAGATTCAAGTACAAAGACCAATGCCTTGTAAAGAAGGACCCCTATTGGTAAAAAAAAGCAGACACTGAATATCCCTTTGAGCATGGTGAAGTTATTCATTACACTTTGGATGGTGTATCAATACACCCAGTCACTACAAAGATACAGGTGTCCTTCCTAACTCAGTTGCCGGAGAGGAAGGAAACTGCTCATGGATTTCACCAGGCCAATGGTGACTTCAAAACAGTTACAGAGTTTAATGGATGTGATATGAGAAAACTGATGATGGATCAACAACATTGTAGTTACTCCACAATACTAACCTAATTGACAGAGGGGAAAGACGGAAGGTTGTACAGAATAAAACTATTCCAAAACGTGCATCCTGTTTGCAACAAGGCACTTAAGTAATACTGCAAAAAATGTGACAAAAAATGTCCTGAATACAAAGTGTTATGTTTGGGGCAAATCCAACACATCACTGAGTACCACTCTTCATATTTTCAAGCATGGTGGTGGCTGCATTATGTTATGGGCATGCTTGTCATCGGCAAGGACTAGGAAGCATTTTAGAATAAAAAGAAACAGAATACAGCTATCAGCACAGGCAAAATCCTAGAAGAAAACCTGGTTCAGTCTGCTTTCCAACAGACACTGGGAGAAGAATTAAACTTTCAGCAGGCCAATAACCTAAAACACAAGGCCAAATCTACACTAGAGTTGCTTACCAAGACGACATTGAATGTTCCTGAGTGGCCTAGTTACAGTTTTGACTTAAAATCGGCTTGAAAATCTATGGCAAGACTTGAAAATGGCTCTCTATTAATGATCATCAATCAACTTGACAGAGCTTGAAGAATTCTTAAAAGAATAATTGGCAAATATTGTACAATCCAGGTGTGCAAAGCTCTTAGAGACTTACCAAAAAAGACTCACAGCTGTAATCGCCACCAAAGGTGCTTCTACAAAGTATTGACTCAGGGGTGTCAATACTTATGTAAATGAGATATTTCTGTATTTCATTTTCAATACATTTGCAAATATTTATAAAAACAGGTTTTCACTTTGTCATTATGGGTTATTTTGTGTAGATGGGTGAGATTGAAAAACAATTTAATCCATTTTGAATTCAGGCTGTAACACAACAACATGTGGAATAAGTCAAGGGGTATGAATACTTTCTGAAGGCACTGTATAAAGTATCTATATGTGTGAGATTACGAATAGCTTAGTTAGCCTGTTTATGCCTTAGATAGCATCATAGTTCGTTTCCTACCTGCTGCATAGTTCTTCCTCCCTGCTTCCTACCTGCTGCATAGTTCTTCCTCCCTGCTTCCTACCTGCTGCATAGTTCTTCCTCCTTGTTTCCTACCTGCTGCGTAGTTCTTCCTCCCTGCTTCCTACCTGCTGCATAGTTCCTCCTCCCTGCTTCCTACCTGCTGCATAGTTCTTCCTCCTTGTTTCCTACCTGCTGCATAGTTCCTCCTTGCTTCCTACCTGCTGCGTAGTTCCTCCTCCTTGCTTCCTATTTGCTGCGGTTGTCGTGGTGATGTCGCCGGCGGGGTCTAATCGGTTGCCCCCGGCGGCAGCGCTGGATTGGGGCGTGATGGAGGAGGCGGGCATGTCCCCAACCAATCGTGTGCTGCCCTCCAGGCGGATGTGGGCGTGTCCCTCGGCGGCCATGTTGAGTATCTTCAGTCCATTGTAGTAGAGACCAGACATCTGACCCTGGAACTGACCCTCTTTCTCTCCTCCTCCAACCGTCACCGTCGTCTGGCTGTTGAAGATGGTGAGCTGGCGGCCTGGACACACACAGACGCATACATAGGAGTCGTCGGTGTGATGATAATACACACGTTAAGCATGACGTTAACGTGTTGTAAGCATGTTGTTAAGCGTGTTGTAAGTGTGTTGTAAGCGTGTTGTGAGCGTGTTGTAAGCGTGTTGTAAGCATTTTGTTCGTGTGTTGTACGCGTGTTGTTAGCATGTTGTAAGCATGTTGGTGTATTGTAAGCATGTTGTTAGCATGTCGTAAGCATGTTGTAAGCCTGTTGTTAGCATGTTAAAAGGATGACGTGGGACATGAGGAAACTAAGACGTACTGTGGAATGTGAGGCTGGAGGGAGAGAGGAGGAGAAGAAGAGGAAGAGGAGGATGAAGAGAGAAGAGATGAGGTAGCTGAGAGATGGTTGCTGTGGAGACGAATCATGAGAGAGTCATGTTGATCAGACATATCGATTGATTATCCTCAGATATGGTTATTACAGCCTTAAGAAGCCCAATGAAGGAAACATTATGAAGACATATGAAGCTCTATGAAGCATGCACAGGTCATAGCTCTGTCTCTGGTCACAGTTAAAGGGACTTCAGGCATTTAAAGGTGCTCTGCTGAAGGTTAAGAGGTCAATTTGAAACAAAACAGTGCATTTAACATCTCTCAAGTCTTACATGTAATATCTGATTATGAACTTTACTTTGGCTATACAGATTATAATGTTCAACATTGATATATGCTTAAGTGAACCCCTTTAAATGTTTACAATTGGAGAAACAATATTATGGAAAAATGTTAAACAAGTACATTTTATCTGTATTAGTTTCACATTTATTCAGATGAATCTTCCCATTGTCCCTTTAACCTGGTATTATTACCTCTCTCTTTATCTACAGTTTACAGTAAATTACTGTATTACAGAACAGAACAGTTACACTACAGTTTACACAGTCTGACAATATTATACTCTAACAGTTACTATAACGTTTAAACTTAGTTATGGATTTATAATTTTAGATGTTAGTGGATGGTCACTGTTTCAACTTGCTTCAGGTTGACTTTTAAGTTGAAAGTTTAAAGTAATTTTAATGTATGTTTTTACCTTTGTCGAGTAGCCAATCGTCAACTATTCGACCGAGCCGATAGGGGATTCTCTGTCTAGCGATGGCCAGGCGCTCGTTATCAATGTTGCCTTTAATTTAAAGATGAAAACACAGTAATTACACCTGGCACAGGAGCTGGACAACAAAATAAATAGCCATGAAGAGAAAGTCAAAGTCCTGACCAAGGTCCTGTCGGTCCGAACATTGTTGCTGTGTCATTAACTTCAATAAGAGTTACATTCATGAGCAGCAGCCAGCAAGCGGACATTGACTTTCTGTTCATGGGCTTTGATTTAACGATACATTTAAACAGTTACTTAACATCTGACAGACAGGAAACATCTGACTGGGTTTAGAGAGTTTGATAAAACAACAGAATAATAATGATAATCACTGTTAAAGCTAACAGATCAACCCTCATACACCTCTGTCTAGTGTTTAGCCTTTTAGCTAACAGCTAAATACTCAATATAAAAACAATAACATAACATTTTTAAAAACCCAATGCTAAAAGAAATACAATCAGTTTTTCCCTTAGTTTTTTCCCCCAGTCTAGTTAATACATTGACATTTTTATTGTGTTGCTGTTTGGCCAAATGCCCCAACGGCTATTATTTTCTTTTTTAAATAAAACACAACTGCTATCTGTATTAAATGTTTACATGGTTAATTTACGTGACACACTATTTAACATGGCAACATAAATGACCAGTGATGTCAGTACAGACTCCCTGGAGTCAAGGCAACAGGGGAAGTGTAACTACATATTTCTTTTTTTATGTTTAAACAGGAAAATAACATCGTAAAATACACATTTGATCTTCAGCAAGTTATAACACAAGTCATAATAGTAATGTAGTATGATGTAGTAATAACATAAGTAACAGCAACATTACAACATCTTTATATTAATACTAATAGAAACAGTTACGATGTATAGTCACTTCCTTTAATTCAGGAAGAGAAGCGAAGCCCTGTTGTGTGATTGGCTGTAACAGGCAGGTGTAGGCTGTGGTCGGTCCCTACCTGAGGGGTAGCGCTCTATGATTGGCAGGTCGTCCAACTGCAGGGTTGCGTTGCCTCCGCTGCGGGTAAACCGAACTATGTGGTACTTCCCATCATTAACGAATTTAGCAGTCTCTTCAATGTTGATGTCATCTGTCCCCACGTTAAACACTACCCGAATATTTCCTTTATCCTGGGGAGAGAGAAATGGAGAGCCAGAGAGAGAGAGAGAGATATAGTGTGAGAGAGAGAGAGAGATAGAGAGAGAGAGATAGATAGAGAGAGAGATGACAGTTAGTTAGTTATAAGTTAGTTATAGTTTCATTTTACATGTTTAGCCTTTTATATTTATTATATTTCTACTATTGACTGTTAACATTTTATTGTTGTTTTTATTATTATTTATTTATTTATTATTATTTACTACCATTTTATATGATTATTCTTTATTATTTTCTTACAATGTATATTGTATACATTGTTGCTTTGGCAATATGGACACAATGTTTTTCATGCCAATAAAGCAGCTTGAATTTGAATTGGAGAGAGAGAGAGAGAGAGAGAGAGAGAGAGAGAGAGAGAGAGAGAGAGAGAGAGAGAGAGAGAGAGAGAGAGAGAGAGAGAGAGAGAAGAGAGAGAGAGAGAAGAGAGAGAGAGAGAGAGAGAGAGAGAGAGCGAGAGAGAGAGAGCGAAAGAGAGAGAGAGACAGAGAGCGAGCGAGCGAGCGAGAGAGAGAGAGAGAGAGCGAGAGACAGAGAGCGAGATAGACAGAGAGAGAGAGAGAGAGAGAGAGAGAGAGAGAGAGACAGAGACAGAGACAGAGACAGAGACAGAGAGAGAGAGAGAGAGAGAGAGAGAGAGAGAGAGAGAGAGAGTGACCCTGTTGCCACAAGAAAAGGGCAACCAGTGAAGAACAAACACCATTGTAAATACAACCCCTATTTATGTTTATTTATTTTCCCATTTGTACTTTAACTATTTGCACATTGTTACAACACTGTATATATACATAATATGACATTTGACATGTCTTTATTCTTTTGAAACTTCTGAGTGTAATGTTTACTGTTAATATTTATTGTTTATTTCACTTTTTTTTACTATCTACTTCACTTGCTTTGGCAATGTTAACACACGTTTCCCATGCCAATAAAGCCCTTAAATTGAAATTGAAATTGAATTGAATTGAGAGAGAGAGAGAGGATAAGAAGAGATAAAGGGTTGTAGCTGGTAGTGTAGCAGAGTGCTGAGTTGAGGAGGACACAGTGCAGTTCCACAGTGATTCTGTAGAGGCCAGTGTAGTCCTTACTATCTGTAGCTGTAGATAGTCCCCCAGTCCCGAGGCACTGTCGACCCGTAGCAGCGTAGCGCGTTTCTGCTGTGTGCTGAAGCCCAGCGCCAGCCGGTCAGCCCGTGTACTGGGGCGCTCGTTAGGAGGCCAGGTGTACACGATCACACCCCCGTCACGACCAAAGATATAAGTGGTCCCCGCTGTGGACAACAGATACATGACTTGTTGTAAAATGGGCTGAAACAAGAAGTAGGAAAAAGGAAATAGGACATAGGAAATAAGAAGTGACTCGCCGTCATTGCAGAGTGGTCCGCCGAATGATGTCATACTGCAATCACAGCTAAATCCCTCCCACTGCTGTAAACACACGCCCTGATTGGAGCAGGAGTCTTCTTGACAGGTAGTACTGGGACCTGGAAAGAGAAAGAGACAAATCCTTTAGCTTCGAAACAAGGAAAGCTAATGTCAACCAGAGGCTGCTGAAAGTAACAAAATAATCAGAATAAGCCCTTAAAAACTCTGATCGACAACAGCCCAGACAAAAAACATATTCATTCACATTTTAAGTGAACCCATTCCTTCAAGAGTTGATCTTCATTGAAAATGAAAAGCACTTTTGGATTGTTGAATTGGTATTACAATTTACTTCACATCCAGTAGCTGTCTGTCCATGAGGTCGGCCAGCCCTAGGTTAGATACAGACATTTTACATTTTAGTCATTTAGCAGACGCTCTTATCCAGAGCGACTTACAGGAGCAATTAGGGTTAAGTGCCTTGCTCAAGGGCACATTGACAGATTTTTCACCTAGTTGGCTCGGGGATTAGAGCCAGCGACCTTTCGGTTACTGGCACAACGCTCTTAACCACTAAGCTACCTGCCGCCCCAGGGAGGGAGGGATTAAACAGAAGGGGGTGGGGTTAGAATCATGCTTCCAAGTGACGGAGGTGAAGAGGGTGTGGTCTAACTTAAACAGGAATGGTGTCACTGAGGGGATGAGGTCATTACGGTGGCCTGGACAGGTCACGTCAGAACATACCACACACAAACACGTACCTGCAAGTGTAACCGAGGTGGCTCACATGAAGAGTAACCTTGCCTGAGACCTGAACCCATGTGTTAGCTCCCTGAGCTACTGCCTTGACTTTAGCTCAGTGGGCTAACACAGTCTTGTGGTGCGCAGGAGACTCAGGTTTGAACCCAGTCGATCACAAGAACACACACAGACACGTACACACAGAGCGATCTACCTTGCAAGGCAGCTTTCAATAATGCTACTTTCGTCAGCCAAAAAGAAAAAGAAAACAACAACAAGCTAATTGTGTTAGATGGTTAGTAAAGAGAGAGAGAGAGAGAGAGAGAGAGAGAGAGAGAGAGAGAGAGAGAGAGAGAGGAGAGAGAGAGAGAGAGAGAGAGAGAGAGAGAGAAAGAGAGAGAGAGAGAGAGAGAGAGAGAGAGAGAGACAGAGAGAGAGAGAGAGAGAGAGAGAGAGAGCGAAAGAGAGAGAGAGAGAGAGAGATAGAGAGCGAAAGAGCGAAAGAGCGAAAGAGAGAGAGAGAGAGAGAGAGAGCGAAAGAGCGAAAGAGAGAGAGAGAGAGAGAGAGAGAGAGAGAGAGGGGAGACAGAGAGGAGACAGAGGAGAAAGAGAAGAGAAAGCATGTGGGATAATCTCCAACATAATTAAAACATCAATTTAAATAATACAAATAAAATTAGCTGTTAGCTGGAGCAAGAGCTTGAATAATAAAAAAATAAGCTATGATATGCAATGGTAAGGGGGAGGTCCTGGTATGTGTGTATTTTTTCTATACGTTTTTTTGTGTAGGTGCTCATGGTGTGCGTGTGTGTATACCTGTGTGTGTGTGTGTACCTTCACAGCCTCTCTCCACCTGTCCGGTCGTAGCTAGAGCATCGACCAGCAGGTCGGGTAATCGGCCGTTGAGGTCGACGGTTGCTAGGCAACCCTGGAAGCCTTCGCGGGAGTGGACGAGCTTGGGAAGGTCACGGTACATCTCTTTAGCCACGCCCCCTACGTACAGGTCACCTATAGGAACACAGCACAGCTTGAGTGGCAACTCCACGCTCCATACCTGGCTCTCTCTTAGCTGACAGTACTGCCCTCACTGCTATAAGGGACAAGGGCTGAGTGTTACCTTTGAGATCGAGGTTCTTGGCTCCCATAGTGGTCTGTGTAGTGACCTTGGTATCTATCTTAACAGTGTGCAGGTTGTTGGTGTCTCTGGATATGAGAACGTTGTGCCAGTTGTTGTCATTAAGAGGAGAGTTGGAGTTCCCTTTGATCAGGTGAGCCCCGTTCCCCAGGTCTGACACATAGTGGAGGTAGCTGGGGACGGAAGGAGGGAGGGTTGGAGGGAGATTAGGATTAGAGTATTATAATATGAACTGCATATCCATGAGTAGCTAGCAGATAGACTAGTCCTTTCACCAAATGATATCATCTCCTCTGTTGTTCAGTAGCAGTAGTGTATAGACAGACAATATAGTGTCAATAGGATGTAATTTGAATGTTGAGGGAATTACCCTTTGACCAGCTCCACCACTATAAAGTCGTTTCCATCTCCTCTGTTGTAGAGTATGAGTCCGTCAGGTGAGGTGGTTTTGAACTGGAGGAACAGGTGCATGGAGTAGTAAGCCTGGAGTGTGGGCAGGGTCACGTAGCTCGACCGTGACCTGAACGTAACCGGGTCCGCCACGATGCTCTTATAGCCAATGACAGCGTTCAGCTCGCAATAGTCGATGTCACCGTTCTTACCTAGGATCGAGATGACGAAGGATGAGGTGTGTGTAATTGTGTAAGGTGCAGTGTTGGGATTAGTTACTTGAAACACTAATGTATTACATATTACTTGTTACATTTAACAAAAGTAATACGCTACTTTACAATATCACATTGTGTGGAAAGTAACGCACTACTTTACAATATCACATTGTGGGAAAATAACGCGCTACTTTACAATATTACATTGTGTGGAAAGTAACGCGCTACTTTACAATATCACATTGTGAGGAAAGTAACGCGCTACTTTACAATATCACATTGTGAGGAAAGTAACGCGCTACTTTACAATATCACATTGTGAGGAAAGTAACGCGCTACTTTACAATATCACATTGTGTGGAAAGTAACGCGCTACTTTACAATATCACATTGTGAGGAAAGTAACGCGCTACTTTACAATATTACATTGTGTGGAAAGTAACGCGCTACTTTACAATATCACATTGTGTGGAAAGTAACGCGCTACTTTACAATATCACATTGTGTGGAAAGTAACGCGCTACTTTACAATATCACATTGTGTGGAAAGTAACGCGCTACTTTACAATATCACATTGTGAGGAAAGTAACGCGCTACTTTACAATATCACATTGTGTGGAAAGTAACGCATTATATTACAATAGTAAATTGTGTGGAAAGCGACGCGTTATATTACAATAGTAAATTGTGTGGAAAGCGACAGGTTATATTACAATAGTAAATTGTGTGGAAAGCGACACGTTATATTACAATTGTAAAATAGAATAATAAAATAAAATGTTATTGGTCGTGTAAACATATTTTGCAGATGTTATCGCAGGTGCAGCGAAATGCTTATGTTTCTAGCTCCAACAGTGCAGTAATACCTAACAATACAAAACAATACACACAAATCCAAACAATTAAAATGAAGAAATATCAGAATGGGCAATGTCAGATTTGACGAGCGACTCAGGTTTGATCAGTAGTTTCTCCTTTCATCTGGTGCGTTGTTTTGCTAGTCTACAAGTGCTGC